ATAACTTCATGAAGAAGTTAAGAAATTACTGGAATATGTATTCCAAGCATACAAATTCATTTAGTGGGAAGTATGTGCCAAAGAAAATCTGATGTAATATGTTACAGATGTGAGAGGAAACCACTTAGCCAATCATAACATAACAATAAGCCAGTTTCTACTGGGCATAAGTCAGAATCTTGCAATTATGAGCTGTTCTCCACTTTCGGTTTATTCTGTTAAACTGCTGACATGCACTGTTATACAAACTCACGATATTGAGAAGGGCACACCAGACTCTTCTAACCTGGAGTGATTCTACTTCTGTAATTCATCATACAGTGATGGGGCTACCAGTTCAGACAGCTTAATTATTTGCATTTTCTGCATCATTTAGTTACAAGATATTATTTTCCTTTATGTTCAGGATGTAGAATTTGTTAAAACTCTGGGGGGAGGTAAAAAAAAAAAGTAGTCAGTTATGCATCCATAAGGAAGGGACCCTTTCAATCATTATAATAAAATGAACAGACCAGCAACAGACAGCAAAATTCTTCAATCACTGAATAACTAGAGGTTGCCTCTCAAGGAGGTCACGTGCAGAGATCTGCCGAGGAGTGCAACAGCATTCAGACCTTGTTCTCTCTGCTCTGCATTCCTTAACGGAGACAAGATAAAGTGTCATAAAAGATAATATTGTTGGGCCTAACATAAAACAGATAAAGCCACTAACTTTTTGTTTGTTATTGGAAACATCAGAAAAATCTGTTATACTGGTGTTAGATCTGTACTCCACCAGTGCAGCTACTGTCAGATGTCTTATTTAACACCACATAGCACTCAGAGACCATAGTAAGAAGAGATGAGGTTAGGTTCATGCTCTGTTACTTCCTAAAACAAAACCAGAACTAAGATGACAAAGTGCAAACACTGGTTACATCTGATTATCTTTTGTGCTGTGCTACAGGAGCATGGAAAACCAACTTAACCATTTTGGTGTCCTAGGCAGGTAACGTTAAAGTGAAAAATCCACATTTAGCAGAGAACATCATTTTCCTTGCATTACCTACAAGCTCATAGAAATTCCAGTTCAAGCACTGTTATGTTAGCTGGTGAGAATCATCATTTTGTTTCCAGACTGAATTAAAAAAAAGAACAAAAACCTGTACATATTCAAGTCACCAGCAGGGGCCAGAAAAGGAGAAAAGAGGAAAAAGAAAAACAAGAACAGGACTTAACTGCTTCGAAAGCTTAAGGGAAGCTAATATTTTGCACCATATGAGCCATTCCTTTCAATTTTTCTCCAGTACTAGCCCTTGTTTTAGGAACTCTTATACTTTGGTTCTTACCTTCAGGACTAACAGCAGCAGCTTTGAAATTGCTGAACAGTATTTTCACGATTGAGTATAAGTCTAATTTGTTGTCTTTTAGCATTTAAGCATATTTTAGAACAAAGACATCATGCAGTTTAAAGGGTTTTTAAAAATATTTTAAAATTATCTTCTACAACTTGGCAACACACAGACTTCTAGTCGTAAAATACTGAACTGTCTGCATTCAAAAGAGCCTTTCCAGCAATGAGTATGTTTTGCATCCTGAACAATTTTCGTATTTTCATTCCACTTATCTTTCTGATTTTTTATGCACAGTATAAAAATGCTTTTAATCACACAACAGAATAACTCTCCGTAACAACCAGAACCGATTTGTTTGTTTTTTAACGTATCTGATAGCAATGAATTAAATGACACAGTGTTGTTCCATCTTTAGGTGGAGTCAGAATCTCCCCTGCCAGTGATTTCAGTCGTGTTGGGCTTCCATCCTGTTGTTGCAACTTCCATAATCAATTTAAGCCAGGATTACATAACCCCCACAAAACTGACAAATCCCCCCCCCCTCAAAACCACACCAAAAAAACCCCAAACCCACCCACAAACCATCAATCCTTCTCCCTTACTAGTGCGTTCTGTTTGACAGAGGGGCAACTTCCCTTATCTGAAGCGCTAGCTCACACCATTTTAAACACACCAAGACACTACGATGGTGCTGGAGTAGCGAGTGTCAGATAACATTATTTCAAGTTAGTCACTCTAAGAGGTTACTATACTAACACAATTCAGTTCTGCTTTAGTAGTCTAAACTTTATCCGTTTTCAATGAACAAAATTCAAGTTCTGTGTTCAAAGTTCTCAGAGACCACAAATATAATAGAACAGCTTCCAAACACAAAGTGAAGCAATAAACAGTTACATGCAAGATTTATATATATTCTTATTATGCACTGAAGAGTAACTTCAGAAAAATTTTATTTGGACAGCTTCATCTCCAACAATATACCCAGTACAAAACTCCATGAAAGACTATCCCAGCTGAAGAAATTTAAGAAGAGAGCAAGAACCAAAGTAGTGCTACAGTAATTTACTAATTCACCAGCTAAGAGTATGCAATAACATACTTAACTTTTCAAGTGTCAGTTCCTAAAGGCTGGAAAAAATCTAGATTTTTTTTTTTTTAAATAAAATTCCTCTTCTCCAAGCTGTAGCAGCAAGAAATAAATTAGCATAGGTTCATACAAAGAGAAGGGGAAACCCACAGGGCAGCATATGCTACCCCTGATAGGCAAAACTAACACATCACAGTTGCCCCTCCCCTCCTCTCCCCCAAACACCTTGAAGTGTTTTGAAGTATCTGTCCCCCATCCCCAAATTAAAACAAAATAAAGCTGTGGGGAAAATAAAACAAAGCATTCTTCAGAAGTGAGTCAGCTCCCACTGATCATCAACCAGAATATTAGTTAGTTATTTCAAAACTCACTTGGCTGAAGGCCAAGCTCAGTGGCCAGTATTTTGGCAATTTACTATCCAAGATGCACGGTGGCCAGGAAGCCTGGCACTTGTAGAGAGGCTGATGAGCCTGCTGCCCGGAGAATTAGGTAACCTAAGCAGCAAACTGGTCTGGGAGTTGGGAAGTCTTAGGACATCAAGGAGAAAGACAGAGGAACCAACGGTCTGAGTAGGGATTTGCTGGGAACCCGTTGGGAGGAAACAGAGCAGAGTGACTGGGGAGGAATTCAAACTGTCCAAATACAAACTCAAATTGGCTGATATGAGCCATGGTTTTAAATGGCTCCTTGGGGTACACTACATTTTGAAAGCCTCATGTTCCTCTATTTTCAAATGGAATATTGTAAGTTGTGAAGATTAGCCATCTTTAATGCTTTTGCTTTTTTGGGTTTTAGTCTTAATTCAGGACATCTCCCTCATTTTATCTATACAAATATATATGCAAAAGTAATTTGGTTACAGAACAAGTGCCTAGTAAAATATATACTGGGTACTACAAGAGATAAAAAAATAAAAATGCTATCGTGGGCTGTAAGTAAAACTATTAAATTAAAATAGCAGTCAAAATATTAACATGTGTTCCATATGCTTGCAATATTTGGATCAGCTATTATAACAGTAACCTCCCATTTTTCATAGCTGTTTTTAACATTAGTAAACAACCTAGTTATGCTTCAAAGCAAACTTGTGAAAAAGCCTCAATACACTTTAGAGTTCTAAATTAGGCTTTAATTCTTTTAAATCTATGCTTGTGGCTTAGTTTATTACCTGAATTTCCCTCTTGCATTTTGAACTGCAATTCATTTCAAGAAGCCACCCAACAGTAAGCGACTGAAATCCATACAAGTTTTACAACTCAGACTGAGCTTGCCATCCACAGGTAGAGGCCTCAGAAAGGTCACCATACTGTAAAAACTTACTTAAATTGTATCAGTAAGAGATAACCAACCTTAAATTATCGCATTACAATCCAAATTTGTGTCTGAGTTCCTGTTTCATAGTATGTATGGGTAGGTGCATGAGGATTTTGTTTTCAAGGCTCTGTGAAGTAGCATTGAACAATTATTTTTTCAGAAGGGGTTGAATTGAGTGCAGTAAAGTTTGTGAGCCATTTCAAACAGTACAGTAAGTACTGGGAAACCTGCAAAATTCTAACCACTACCCCTACCAGAAAAGGTGGCTTACCTTTTCCGTGCTGATCTAACAACTATTAAAATAGTCAGCCTGCCATCCTTTAATACACTGATCAACTCTTCAATGAAAGTTTCCCAGGGAGAGCTTCCAAAAAGAAATAATGCAAAAATGTTTAGAGACTTCACAAAAAGTGATATTTTTTTCCATTACTATCTAGCCCATCAGCATACCAGTTGTTTGGGTTTTTTTTAATATCAGAAGGCTAGTGGAAGACAGTCCTTTTGGATTGTTCAGTTCAATTTTTCCCATGATTATTTTGCTGCAGCAGCAAAAGTCACCTTCTTTTAATAAAGTATACATTCTCAAAAGAACAGAAAAGTTAATTATTCTTATTTCAAACAATAGTAATGAGCTTTTCAACAGATACCTCCAGGGATAAACAACTGTATAGTCTAACTGTTCAAATTCCAACAGCATTAAATTCAGACTAAAATCCTTAAGTTTAGGTTAATCAGCACCAGACCTTCCTCCATCTTTTGTTTGTTCTACAAAGGGCAGCAAAGAATTCGAAAACACGACATTTTGACGATTTTGGGCAATTTTCCATCGGTCACTTTTCAAATTCTACCAAGTATTTGGGGTGTAATTTTATGACAGAGCTTCTGCCAACACTCATGTACGAAAAGCTGAGCTCATCAATCAAGTCTGATGCCCAGGCGAGAAAGCTAGCTTTTGTCTACTACCAACTAGTTCCCCAGCTATCCGGATGATTCTCAAGAGGTTCAGCTACATACACCAAAGAATGCAGCTCAGGCCTGGGGTTGGGGTAAAGGAAGATGAGCCAAATGGGAGACAAATGGCAGAAGCCAGACTTTCAGTGCTCAGGGTCCCAGAATTCTTCCTTCTTCCCCCCACGGCAAGGAAAACATATTGCTAAGTATCAAAAGGTATTAGAAACAGACTTCAAAAAAAAAGAAAAAACACGACTTCTGCTCTATAGCTCACATCCATGTGGTCAATAATTAAACACACAAAAATGCCTTACCCTCCTTGTGTTTTCCACAACTTTTTGATCTGGCTTTCCATAATTTGGGGGATTGGCATAAGGATCATAGCCCAGTTTTGCTAGCATGGGTGCAATCACAGGCATGTCTTGCAGAACATCAGCAGGTATCTTCCCAACCCACTTTGACAGTGCTTCCACATTGACTGGCTTGATTACTTGGTCAGTAGATCTTTCAACCCTGTGGAATGAGACAGAAAGGTTATATTTTGCATTCCAACCAATACTTGCTTTTTCACTAGCATTAAGACCTTTAGCTTGTTTTATGTGGGGTTGTTTTCCCCCCTTCCTCTTCCTTCCCTCTCAAAATTTTATCTTTCTGCAGAGCTGATGGAAAGTGAAGTTCTGCTACATAAGGCTAAAATGAGAGTAAGCAGCACAACGTTCATGCATGCTTTCTGGTTCAGGATTTCACACAGAACGTACTGAAACAAGTTCTTTATATAAAGACAGCAGTGAAAGCCAAAGAGCTGTTAAATGAAAAGTATGCACACACCTACACATAAAGCAGTTTTGCCATTAGCATATTCCCACAATTGCTGTTTCATTGTATTAAATGCTCTTAAAAGCTGTGTTCTAAATTAAAATCCATGTGCCATTTATTCTCCCTCCCATACTGTGACTAAATTTTTTATTTTTTATTTTTAATAACAGAGACACCTATGGAAATGACAAAGCTGTAGACTGCAATAACATTTGTCATAACCATTTCTTTTACAGATTGAGTGTTTGGTCATTACACAGTTCTTAAAGGCAAGTGCATAATCATAGCAGTGTCTTATGTACTGCATTTAGAAAATAGTTGATTTGTTGCTCATTTAATCAACAGTCCCAAAGTAATTTTCATTCTTGCACCCTAGTTTTGTTGTGGGTTTTTTTTACTTTGTTTTCCTACATTCCTTGCTTCTTTTAGATTAGAAGACGTACAACTTCTTTACTGTTTATTTCTGAAACAGGCCAGCAGGACTCAGAACAGGCCGAGTAATTTAAAACTTTCTTCTGAACTTGGAGAGTGCCCATGCATTTTGGATGTCAAGGTTTATCTTTTTTTTAAGGCAGAATAAATATCAGGTCTGTATATAAAAGTTGCCTAAAGGAATATCTGCATCTGCGTTGCAAGTAATACCATAAGGGATGCCACTATATCAGTGGCTCCTGCTGGCTGGCCCCCCCTGCCTCAAACCTGATGCTAAACATACAGCTGTCACATCCACTTGCAGCTATCACCCATCCCAGGCCTTATTTACGTAGTAAAGAATTCTGATCACAAAAAGCTCTACCACCCAGAAAAGAAAATTGTTATACTTGAAAGTAACAGTGCAAAGTGTAACACCAGTACCTCACCTAAATAACAAAGAATGAGAACACCGAGATTGAAATTAATTCTCAAGCAGTCAATTCTTCAGTTATACAGCAGGCAGAATATGAGGAAACATCTTCTGTGAAAAATAAATGGATGTGTCCTGAACTAGTCCTGATAGTTTCAGAGTCCAGAAGCCTGAACTAAAGTCAAATTGCTCTCAAGACTGACATCAGCCAACTTACAACAGGAACAAGTTTGATTACAGTTATCTGATCAGCCTCATGAATCCAAGAAGAGGCTGAAGAATTGTTGCATAGCAGACAAACATTAAATCAATAGCAAGAGGCATCCCATTCAGATGCACACTGTACTGTGCAATGAAAGCTAAAATACAATCTATGCATGCATGTCTGGTAGTCATTAACTCAATCTGATCTTAACACCAGTCTTTACCTTGTTACTCTTTTTTTACTTGTTATCATAGCTAAAATTCTTCCAGGACAGAGGAAGGAAGTTAATTTACTGACCTTCCAGCATTGTATGACTAAGTACTTTAAGCACAATCAACAAAACAGACAGGGAAATAGTCACCCATGGGGAAACTGTCTTGGCAAACTGGGCCTTCACAGATTGCTGCAAAAGGTGTTTAATGGAAGCTGATGAGTAAGCACCTGACAAACAAAAAAACCTGTAAGACAACCCCCAGAATTTTCAGCCTTACACTCTTCAACCATTTTCAGTAGCTTAAACCGAAGGCAGGAACTCAGAATGCAATTTTGGGACCAGGGAGTTGCGACTGAATTTCAGCCTTCCTGAAGGCTATTGCCTCAGCTCACAAGTCTGTATAGTGAACTAAGTCTGGGCATTGCCTTTTTACTCCTACTAATTAGAAGACAAGCAGCTGACTTCATGTCAAATTAGCAAGAAAACAGCTGTTAAGAGTCGAGTTTCAGAAGTTCTAAGTGGCAAGGCAGAGGACAAAGCACCACAACAGTCAGAAGTCTGTGGAACCATGCTGGGTGGGACCCTCAAGAAAAATTTATCACTAGGTGTTTGAAAAAGTGTAAGACTTACAGTCCTCTCCCTCTCAGACAGAGCCAGCCAAGCCCAAAACCCCTTCACCACTGCAGATTGATTTGACCATTTAAAATAAGGGTGATACTGCAAGAAGTAGGTAATGGGCTTGGCTAATAGCTTATTGGAACCCCAAAACAATGGGTACTATGCATCAGTTAGACCTAATTTAGTACACATATGGATACCTCATCCTGAAGTAAAAGCACATTTAAAATGTGTATGTTTTGCCCCGCTGTCATTTTAGTCTTTTGTAACAATAAGCTCAGCATGAAACATTTCCTGGTGATTAATACCTGGCAAGAGATAAGCAGGGAACTGCATTTAGCTGTTCCTAGGCACCGATTCAAAAATATACTGTACCGCATTTGGTCTTCTGTTTAAATCTTTTTCTGTCCTTTCAGTTAAGGTGGGAAGGAAAGTAAAACACAATTCATGGGAAAGATTCTTCAGACCAGAGAACATCTGAGGATTATGGAGGAAGACAGATTGGAAGAAGACAGGAGGAAAAAAAACACCCAAAAACCCAAACACAGCAAAACAAGGAAACATACCAAGTCTTGGCAAATTTGATTATGCATGCATATGGCAAATGCTGCCTGGTCAGCGCTTCCAGGCTCCACTGCAAAACCACAGGAACAGTTTCAACTTTGAAAGCAGCTGGTAGCATAGAACACAGGACTAACCCCAAATACTTCTACATCTGTACTAGAATTCCGTCAAAGGTATGTATTAAAACTAGTATACTCTGAAGTAATTTTGCCTAGACAGCTATTTTCATAATAAGCCTAATAAAAACTGCTATAAAAAGGTTGATGTTTCTTTGCATCAGTGGTCACCACAGCTGCTTTCAGTTAAGAGGCAAATGCCAGAGCTATAGTAACAATACTACTTATAGCACGTAGTCCAGCCATAATACATTCCTTGAACAGCCACGTTGGCAATTACTTCAAACCACAGAAGGCTTCCCGCTTCTACAAATGCTGTGGTGCACATCCTTAAAACCCTTGCAGTGTTTCTACTTGCAGCTGGATAAAAACCAAAATAAGGGGCAAAAATACTACGTAAAATAGAACAACAGTGAGGCTAGGGCTGGATGAGCAACCGAAAAAGCAGGGATTGCTAAGCACTTGCAGGAGAAAAGAGTCAGGCAGCCAACAGCTTCCTCAAATCAAGCAGCCCAGGGAACAGACGAAGTCAGAATCTTAAATACAGACTGCCTAGTATCTAATATTGCTATTATGCAATAGCATAAGAGTTTCTGAGTCTGGAATAAGAGTAAAGTGGAATCAGCTTGCTGCCTGAAGAATTCTGCAAACCATTGGGTGGCTCGCTCATCTGTGGAACAGAAACAGCCTGCACGCACGATTTAACTCTATATACAACTGAAAATAAAACACCTTACACTGACCTACAGCCTCAATTCATCTGATACAGATTTCATGTGACATTGTTAATTCTGATTTCAGATAAGTTGAAAAGGTCCCTTCCAACCCCTAACATTCTGTGATTTGCTTTCTCTTACCAGGTAATAAGATAATTACAAAGATCTTTTAGCAATACTGCTAATCTCTTAAGTATTGCTAAATATTTCAAGACAACAAACTCGTCAGATTTCTTTTCAAAAACCCTCTGACAGTTAAAACACATTCAGGCATCTTATGTTGGACCTGACCTGAGCAGGCATCATGCCTCTGAAGTGGATGCTGAGCCTATCTGAAAGTCTTAAAGGTGAGTGGAAGATGATTGAGAGGTTTCTCTACGCAATTACTTAAGTCTTTACACAGTATCACAGCCTTTGCACACTATAACAGTAGCTCATTCTTTGACTTCAGAGGTTTTCCATCCTACCTAATACCTTACAGACAAATGGGGAAATAATTTTATCTAGATCTTCATGCTCTCCCTACTTTACTACAGGGGCTAGGCCTATGTGTTGGTAACTTTCAGATGCACGCCACATTTCAATACAGATTATTTCAGACTTGGGATCTCTTCCTCCTGTCAGTAAAAACTGTAATATAAATTTGAGTGTTCTGATTTTAATACACTATCATGAAACAGCCTGAAGCACTTGGTACCAGGCATGTGGTAAATTAAAGCTCTGTGAGCAGAGTTGCAACAGATAGCAGCGTTTTTTATTTCCTTAGATTATCTCTGACGTGATCTTCAGCAGCATCCTTTGGAAAGTCAGGTGGAAGAAACCTACTAATCAGAATCTGGAGCTCCAGACTCTGTTGTTTCACCTGAAAGACAAGAGTATTCACACTGTGAAGTAAAGAGCACTCTCCAGTAAGCTCAAAGAGAAATTTTAAGTCATAAGAGAACAATGTTAGTTAGAACCTGACCCAGAATGCAACAGCCATAAAGAATTTTGCTGCAGCCGAGAACAAGCTAAATGGAACTTGATAGAAAGAATGCTAAGTCTAATGCAAGGTGTATTTTGTTCAGCTGTCAAAATCTGATAAGCTGTGGCATACTCTCAAGTTCTCAGTAAACTACCTAGCAAGGATCTTTTCAAAGAATAATTTTTCTGGGCACTTACCCCCTGCTCTGGGCAAGGACCCCCTAGACAGGCAGCCACCTGTGTCCACAGCACTCTGCTGCACACGAGAGGGTAGCGAGGAGCTTGGGATGCCAAAAGCAGGTTTTAGCTGGTACAAGGAAATCAAATTGGGGAATCTCAAGCTCCCCCTGCACCATATGAATTAGTATCATATAAATACACAAACCAGACATCTAAGTTAGCGAATTTCATATTCACTGTTTTTTCTGCCGCCCTCAAAAAGACTGAGTCACTGAAATCATTATCAAATTATAAAGGTCTCTTGCAACGGAAAACCAAATCTCACCACCTATTTTGAGGGTATTTGATTAGATAAAAACACCACAGACATAACACTAATAACCCATTCTTTTTCCACTATTGCCAGAGCCTTCTGAAATAATAAATTACTTTCACATCTCATCTCATGAGAGATAATAAAAGCATAAAGAATTCTGTGAACAGATTGAATTGAGGGTCACAAGAACACTTTCATACTCCTTTGTCTAAACTTGAAAGCTTGATTCAAAAATACATGAAGCCTCATTTTACTTTCAACAATCCATTTCCTTAAGTTTTAGAGACATGAAGTATTGTCAACGCCTCACATCCCATTCCACCAGATTTAGCAAGAAATACTACTTCAGATTGTATGGATTCAGTAGGCTACTGAGTTTTACAGCATAGAGGTCCATTAATTTTTAAAAATGCTAATCTAGAAGCTGTAAGGTAGTAATATTTTATTAGAAATGGCATTATGCATAGTTATTTTTACAGGACACTTAACAGAACTTGTCAATCCCCTATTCATGCCAGTAAAGGTGAGTTTACTCCTCCCTCAGCTGCCATTGTGAAGCAGTAACATGACACAGGTAAGTGAAGAGAAGTTTGCATGCAGCTACAGCTTGCAGAGATATACAACAGCACACTGCTTCAGGTTAACAGTATCAGAAGGCTTCAATCTGCAAACGAAAAATAGCGTGAAAAAAGGCTGAGATGCCTTCTTGATAGCTCTGCAAACACAGTGGTGGTGGTTGTGTTTCTTCAGTGGGAATGCTGATGCGAGACCTCCAGAATTTAAGTTTATAACTGTTATCTGAGTTTTAAGTTCTCTTTGTAGCCACTGACTAATTATTCTATGATTTGCTTCAAACCACACTCCCCTACAGTATAACAGAAAATCCACACAGTCAGTTCCCTAGACATCAAATAATCAAAATGTCCCAATTCTTATTCCTCAAAACTCACTGGCTAGTGATGAATATTCAAATAACGGAGGCCAGTGATTTTAACTGGGCATGCCTTGCTGCTGGAATAGGGGTTTTTAATCAGTATTTTAGAAACTTAAACAGGACAACCTGGTAAGTGTATCTGCCATTGAAGAAAAAGGAAGAAAAGAGATTCAACATTCACACCTTTCCTGCTCATAAAGACCAGCCAGCTTCCGTATCTCAGAAGCCTCGCTGTAAATAATGGCCAAGAAATCAAAAAAGAGTAGTTTAACCAGCTTTCCCCCCCCCTCCCTTCACAATACCCATCCAGGTTTTCTAAGCAGAGCTGGATTTTGGTTTCTGAAAGTAGCCAAGTCAGGTGCACAGACGGCATGACAGAATACCGAGAGATCTGCTTACAACAAGGTTAATTTTATTCAAAATGCTTGTCCTTTTAGGAGCACATACCAACAGAAAAGCACGCCAATTCTGCTTTCTATTTTGTTGGAACAGTTTCTCAAGTTTCCTGGAAGAGTATGTTCTTGGCAAATACAGCTCCAAGGCCATTCTTGCATTGACAACAATACTTAAGTTCCTGAAATCAAACCGGTGATCTTGCTAGGATGACGAACACCAGTCTAGATAAAACAGTCCAGCTTTATTTTGGGGCACAGGGAAAAGCAAAGCTGTATTGGAAGAAAGGCTGATACTACACATCCAAATTCAAGTTTTTCCAGTGAATAATTGTTCTTACTTTCCAGGCAGTCTGCCTTATAAATCAGCTTCAAGACATCACCAGCTACTTAAAAACCGAAACCAAGTTATGACTAGTCTTTTACATGCAAAGTGCACTATTTTACCTCTTAGAACAATACAAGGTAAAGAAGGAATGCTCATACTCACTTTGAAAGAGAAACACCCCCTGCTTTTCCAATCATTTCTTCATGGTGCAGCACTGCTTGGTTCCATGGTATTCGAAGAAACTTTAAGAGAGTTCTCATCCATCTTTCAGGATGCAATACGAGCTGTTCGTAGTGTACCAGCATACACCTTTCAAAACCAACCTCCATACACTGGTTATACATAGTTTCTATAGCACGATTCCACTTGGTCAAGCAGTCCCTGTAGCTGTTAAGGTCAAACCCAGCTATTGTGACTTTTCTAGATATCATGGAATGCACAGATGCACGACCATCCCGTACCATTAGAAGAAATTTGGCATTGGGGAAAATTCTAGCAAGATAAGTTAAGGATTTTAAAGCAAAAGGATCTTTGTTACACAAATATGGAGCAGGCTCCCCATGTTTCACAATGATTTCCAACAAAAACGCTTGCATGGCTGAGTCCAGAACCTCATCTGTGACTCCAGCTTCATCCAGTCGGATCTTCTCTTTGCTTGATCTAGCCCACATCTGCTTAACTGCCAGAATTCGCGGGATTACCCTTGTCTCTTCTCCGCATCGAATATCCGGATGGGCATCAAGCATGGCACGCATTAAGGTAGTGCCACTTCGAGGTACTCCTCCAATAAATATTAAAGGCATGTCTTTGTTGTAAGCAAAAGTTTTGTTTGCATGGACATTGGAAGCAGTTCTTACTGTGCTTCTCACGCTTTCCATCCTCACAGGCTGGCTGCGTTCTTCTATTCGATGGTGACACTCCATAGCATGTTGGCCCAAATAAAACACTGTCACTGAACTGATCACCAGACATGCCAATAGCAAGTTCTGTTTGAGTTTTCCAACCATTTTGATAAAGACTGTCACTTCAAAATAAAGAGACCTTCTATTCCAAATTATCTTCTAGTTCACATGCCATGGGAATCCTAATCCAAAATACATTAAGGTCTGGTGAAAAGGGAAAAAAAAAAAATTAGACTTTTGTTAAGAACTATAACAATAAGTCAACAACAGAAATTCCTGACAGCATTCAATAAAACTATTATCTCCTGGTGTTGCATTAAAACCACTAAATGCAAAGTCTAAACACGATCATCCCATAATAAAAAGCCTTTTTGTTTACCCATAGAAGCAACACAAAACATAACAAGGCTCATTACTATAATTACTATTTACATAGAAGTTCTCTGGTACATTTTAACAACATGTTTGAAAGAATTCTACCACTGCATAGGTATTGTTAAACTTTACAGTCAAAGACATCATTTAGATGGGAATCTAGACATTAAAAAAGTAATTATTAAGAAACCACTCTACTTGAGGATTGACAGCAAAAAAAAGACAAAAAAATGACCTCTCTGAGCCAGAGTCACCTAGATAGAACAAATTAACAAGACACTCCACACAAATCACATTAGAAATCACAGAAGAATTCAAGAATTAGAATAACTCTGGCATGCTGAATTGACGGTAGCAGTATCCTGCTCATTATCACATTTTCATGTAACTACATTACCTCCTATTTTGCTTGAAATGCTCTATTTCCTTCACAGGGTATGAGATGATGTAAAAGATGTTTCACAGTTACCTATCAACACCTACAGTGCCCAGTTTTTGATCAAGGCCTTTAAGCAATGAAGAAAAATAGTTTGCAGCAAGTAAGGGAAACTTCAATTTTTATTTCAAGGGAAGCTTTGATTAAAGAATTGTACAGTCATTAAAAACTACAAACACAATCCAGGAGTAAAGCTGACTAAGATCAAAACTAAGAACAGTCTTCATTTAAATAAGAACAAGAAACAATAAAAGAAGAATTAACCTATGCTGACTATAACAATTTTCATCCATTCCAGTATACAGGTAATACAAAGCAGGATACACAAAAGAAAACTAATGATTTCATCCTAACTTCCTTCTTTATTGTTTTCTTTACCTAAAATTTGGCCCTTGGAGATATTTCTCTCTCAAAAAAAAACAACAAACCCAAAACACCCAAACCCAACACAACCATAATCATTCATTATTCCATTGATTAAACAAACCCACAAAAACCCCACCCACCAACTCTCCCCCCACATCTTATGCAGTGTTTTGAAGTCCAGAGAAATGTTAGCTGAAATACTGAACAATTGAATAAATTAAGAAGAAAGAAAAATAGATCCTGTTCTCAACCAGCACTCCAGGGAAAAGAATTAAAGCCTTGCGTAATTTTAAGTCACATACACAGCACTGCCAGAATAAAGTATATGCTGCATTCTACCTTCAAAAAAGGAGTTTGGATTCCTTTTAAGGAGTGCTGGTAAGCTTGCTCTTTCTTTTAGTCTGTTCTACTTCATCTAGATAATTCTCTTATTTTTCACTGGTATGACAGCAAGAGTCTTCTCCCTCCAAGATACAACGTAACACTTCAGAGTTCAGAGTCTGAATATATTGTTACTACACAGAAAGGCTTATGGCAAGAACCCATGTAGCATATCAAAAGTCAACTGGCAAGAACAGTAAGACAACTATGCTTTACAAAGCATCACGGCAGCCCACATTAATGAAGTTTATGGTTATAGTAATTTCATATTTCTAGCATGCAACAGAAAAATATACTGTAAAAAAATTTAACTTATGTCATCGTATAATCTTCCTTCTGGTTCTACAATATCACAATTAATTGGTCCATTTTAAACCCTTACAATTACTACAAAAAAGTAAGAGAGGCAAATCAAGGACCACTCATCTGTTTTGCGATACATCAATAACATGGCTTTCATTCTGCTTTCTAATCTATAATTTAAGCAGTGATGATCATTCTGTGACAGAACAATTTCTCAATTTGACTATTATTTGAATAAAGTGAATTTTACCACACCAAAAGCCACCACTTTTCTCCTGGAAGTTTTAGGGTTTTTTTCCCAAATAGGTATGGTACTATTTTCTACAATGATCGTGTAACTACAGCGATAGTATAACTGGAGTCTATGTCCAGCTCTGGAGCCCTCAGCACAGGACAGACAAGGATCTGTTGGAGCGGGGCTGGAGGATGTCACAGCCATGACCCGAGGGCTGGAACCCCTCTGCTGGCAAGAGGAAAGGCTGAGAGAGCTGGGCTTGCTCAGCCTGGAGCTAGAAGGCTCCAGGCAGACCTTATTGCGGCCTTTCAGTACTTGAGAGGGCCTGCAAGAAACCTGGAAGGGGACTTTTTGCAAGGACGTGGCGTGCTAGGACAAGGGACAATGGCTTTAAACTGAAAGAGGGGAGATTTAGGTTAGATAAATGGAAGAAATTCTTTACGGGTGGTGAGGCCCTGGCCCAGGCTGCCCAGAGCAGCTGTGGCTGCCCCCTCCCTGGCAGTGTCCAAGGCCAGGCTGGACGGGGCTTTCAGCACCCTGGGCTGGTGAAGGGGTCCCTGCGCATGGCAGGGGGGTTGGAACTACATGATCTATAAGGTCCCTTCCACAGCAAGCCAGTCTATGATTCTATGACCTCAGTATTTGAAAACAAATTAGAATTATGGGTTTGTACAGCTAACGCATCTATTACTAAATATTTTATATACTCCCTTTTTTTAAATTCTAGAAGTTACTTCTCCAAGCTGTAATGAGAGGATATTAAGTCTGAAACCCCAAAATAATAATAAACCATGGGTTTATTTTGTGTTTTTTTCCAGTTAGGGTTCTTAAAATTGCAATATTTAAAAGTAATTTTCAGTTTTACAGATGAGAAGAAAAACAAACACTGTATTAGATTTATATATTAAATCTGTATTAGATAGATAGATTAGAATTCTGGACATGAATATGAATCTAAACAAAACTTTTAGATAGAAACAAAAGATTTAAAAATCTGTCTGCTGATCCAACGTAGACACTTACAAGCAGGAACAAGAATATGCCATGTCTTACAGCAAATACCAGTGGGTTATGTCCAAGACTGGCTTAGATAAACCTGCTACTCTGCTGCCCGGATGACTTGATCTGTTCATGCCAATCTATACGTTGTATCTATTTTTTTCCATTCCTAACAGCTAATGTACAGACAATTGTTTTACCTGTATTCTGTAGTTCAACAGCTTTGGACTTTCAAATAAGGCAGGCTGAAACTGACTCTTCCTCTCAAAATTCAAATTAAATTAGTAGTCTAACTGAAATTTTAAAGAAGTGCTTGCCTTTCAGAGTTGAAATAACTCACTGAACAGTATGAATCACAGATGCTTTTAATTGTAAGGAGCTCCGAGTACTGAGGTACTGTCAATATTTTAAATGACTGGCTTCCTCCAAGCTCTTCCATTTCTGTCAGCAATGCACAAGACACCCTTGAATGAAGAACATGCTTATGACTACTCTCTACCCTCTCTCCAAAACATCATCCAATTAACCTCTTCCTCCATGCAAATCCAGTCACCAACTCAGAAATTCTCCAGTCCCCACCCAAGCAAGATGCTCTGGACCTGTCCCTCACCAGACCGCCGGCCTTCACAAACTGGCCAGCGGTAGCAGGCAGGCTGCCTTGTAGATTCTCCTGCAACTCTCAGCAGGCAAGTAAGTGCCTTGCACTTTACAGTCCCTGTTTTATGAGGCTGTGGAACCAGACAGCAGCGTACAGGCAGAGCACAGAATTCCCGCTTCGCTATAACAGCACGGCAGCAGAAGGAGGGAGGCAGGGAACTCCTCATGCATACATCTGTCACAGCAGTATTTTTCTCTTGCAGTGTATCCAAGAGAGCCAGTCCCCAAGCTGTGAGAGAATGTCTTGGCCCCTTCACACTCCCAAAGCTTATTCCAATTAGTAGTTGTCACAATACTACACTTGAAGTTCAGTTTAATAGCTTTCGTTTCCAAAATTAAATTGGAATCTTAACCTAAGAATCATACCCCTTACCAGAATACCACTCTTGTTATAATCAGTTCATCCTCTGTTACAATTTTCATTCTACTTACTTACCTCTCCTTGCTGAAGAGCTGGCTTTAACTGTAGCTAAAATATCTGGACATTAAAAGGAACAAAATCCCAGAAATTTTAAGTGGAGGTCACCTGAGCAATGCTCAGAACAAAATCATTCAGTAAATACTTCCACAGCACCAAAAAGCAGAAAGTCCCTCTCCTGAACAGATTCTGCATGAACACCCAACTTTCCACTAGGGAAAGGAAACTGTTCTGCTTAAAACCAACAAATAGCACACAGAATCTCTTTAAATACTTTAGATACAGTAAAGATTTAGTTAAAAGTCAGTACTCATTTCAGAGAAGAGTTAACACAACAAAAACAGTATTTTTCCACAGAGCACATAAGACCTGCAAATATTTACACTTCATACAATCCTAACATTATTCGGTTTGAGTAAAATCCATAAAACTCATTTCCTAAAAAGAAAAAAAGAAACCAACAACCCAAGAAAACCCCTCCCCACAAAAATCTTCACCTTCCAAACTAAAAACTACTCCTTGAAGACACTAATGCTCCTCAAATGCAAAAGTTAGGTAGCTGATCACTAGAGAAAAACATATCAAGACCGAAAGCATCAACTGTTCTACTCTCATCATTTATATTAGGACAGCACTTATAAAAAAAAAACCAAAAGAAACCAACAAACTCACCCCACCCCACCCCCAAATCCACTAGCACCAGCTTTCAGAACCAAGCTGAAGAACAGGCAGCATGGGAGGAAAGCCTGTCGACTGAAGGCCGAAATTCTCAGTTCACAGGTTGGGTAAGGCAGAAAGATGACTCATTCTCAGCACAATTCCAGCCTGTGAATGCAATTCTGTGTTGCAATCTGTGAGTAGGTTTCCTAAATTACTCGAAGTATTGACCACTCATGTACAAAAACCCATCCGCATGACCAAAAAAACACCACACCAATCAACCACAAATACCTTCATTTGATGCAGTAACTTTTTGATAAGTTCAAAGATGCCAAAGGCCAGAAGATCATCAAGAGCTGGTATTAAGCTGTCCCAC